TTATCTGTTTGACCATCATTTGAGCTCGATTCACACTTATATGTTGTTCTGACACACAGCCAGTATAACTTTTGTTCACAGAGCAATATATGACAGTCTGAATATTAGCTAATTGCATAACATATTTGCCCACCGTGGGCATGGAAGGTGCAATACTGCAGAACATTCTGCATATTTTTTTTATAAATGCAATTTTTTTTAGTGTACAAGGTTGGACTGACTCTAGTGGGAGCTTCTCTACCTGCAGCAGTTCCAGGAAGAAATCCCCAGGCAGGTCTGAGTCCTTGAGCTGAGCCATCAGGTGCATCAGACACTCCAGCTGCTCACTGGACAGCTTCTCGTACAGCTCCTCATCCTCATCACTAGGATTACAGAAGAAACTCTGTTACGTTGACATTTAAAGGCTGCTTAGAGGACCGTAAGTCTGCTGTGGTCTCCACCTGCAGGTCTGTTTGCAGTTGAGCCTTACGCCTCCATCAACGCCCGCCCTGAACTGGAACCCCACCGCCACATCATTCTTACACTCTCGGAGGCCGGAAAGCTGCCTCATAGACGACAGAGCAGCAGATTTCTCCGATTGGTTCAGGAACCAAAGCAAAATGTCCTGGCAGGTGGTGCTGGGGTGCAATGAGAAGACGCAGCCATGCAAAATAATTCTTTCATTACTCAGCTTTCTGTCTGCACAACCATGAAATCTTGGTCTAAACCAGGGGTCTCTAACTGGTTCCAGAAAGGGCCGTGTGGCTGCAGGTTTTCTTTCCAACCAAGCAATAGCTCACCAGGCTCCATTCATCTCATCAAGTCATCATGTTAAGCCTGGACTCACTTGATGAGATGACTGGAGTACTACAGTTAGTCATAAAATCTGTGATTTTTTTGAATTTTTTTTTTTTTTTTTCCCCTTTTAAGTTCTTTTGAAATTGTTAATTGATAGTATTTCGCAAAATAAGTGCATTTAGTCTTGAATTGAGGAGGCAAGTGAGACACTTTGCCAATGGAACAAAACAATTACATTTTAAAATAAGAAAAAAACTATTACATTGTCTTATTTCAAGTGCATATTATCTAATGATCCTATTATATGGGTAAAAATACTAATTCCATTTGCAAATCCTCTTATTTGATTACTCAAATTAAGGGTAAATAATTATTACTTACGTTAATTAGTTAAGTATTTCCAGATCGTTTTAGCAGTGTGTGGTTGGACTTTTTCCCAGAGGGGTTCGATGGGTTTCTTTGATGACATTTTACAAGTTACAGGAACTGTTGGTGTCATGAAATGAATCTGCCAGCTGGTATTTCAGCATTATAGAGCTGCTTTCACATTCACTTAACCACAGAAATGTTAGGAATGATAAATAGCTGTTCATGGGAAGCTCTATTAAAACTAACAGGACAAGACCTCTCTATGAGTTGTTATTGTTTTTATCTAGATCATTTTTTTTTTTAGAAATAATTATAATAAATTGGGCTCGAGTAACTCATTTGATTACCTGGACAGACCCGATAATCCTTGTAGCAGGGAATGAATTAGAACCATGGCTGGCAGTCCACAATCCACAGCTGCTCACAAACCTTTCTGCTTTTAGATGCCAAAATATAAAAAACAAAACAAAAAGCATTCTAATAATAGAAACATAAAGAAGTTTTGACTTGCCTTTCCAATGAAAACAAATTGCTGGCCTAGATCCTGTTTCATCTACCAACCTCTCTTAAGAGGACCAATCACAACGGAGCTTTTACACACGTGGATGAAAATACTTTCCTCTTTGAAGACATGCGTCAACTTGAGCTTGCGTCAACTGAATATTATGCTGAAGAGAGGAATCTCTCTGCCATTGAATCAGTCCTGATCAAGACTTGGATCTGACGGTAAGTAAAACCTGTATATTAGTCTCTAAAGGACATTAAAACGGTGATGGTTAACAGCATAATATTTTTTTGTTACAGGTAAAGTGTCTTGTTACATGTGTACATTAAGTTAGACTGGCCAATGAGTATGGGAATATGACGCTTTTTGTGAATCGAGCAATCAAAACCAAATGACTTTGATAGCTCTGGAGAAGGACGTTCACCTATAGACTCCTTCTCTCTTTCAGTACAGTCTTGAATTACAGTGTCTCTGTGTGTTTGATACATGACAGAAACAAAGACAGAGATATTTTACATTCCTATTGTTTTTTGTCTGAAATGCCTTGCAAATGGCAAGTTTTCTTTTAAAAAGGAATAGTGGAGGATTTTGTGAATTTTTGAGAGGACCTGCTCTTTCCACTTGGAAAAAAATGCACATGCACAACCCTGCACCCACTTCCAAGGAACGCCTAATTACCCTGTGCAAGAGTATGCACGAGCCAATTTCTCCTTGTGCACGCTCTGTTTAAAAGTTGCTGTTTACGTCGCTAATACAAGCAAACTAAAGAAATGGGTCAGAATGGTAAACAAAAAATATATGCAGACAACAACAACCAGTGAGCCCTATTCGGACAAGAGACACCTGTCAATTCCCTAAAGTCAAGCCTTGGGGGTGAAATTGAAACATTCCCTCAGTAGCAGGAAAAGTTATCAAGTTTAACGGGCTGACCTATTTCCAGCTTGGTATAATTAAAGGTATTTGTGGAGGAGTTTTTTAAAAGATCCACCCTCTCTACTTAACAAAAAAAAATGCACATGCACAACCCTGCACCCGCTTCCGAGGAACGCCTAATTAACCTGTGCAAGAGCACGCACGAGCCCATTTCTCCTCCTGCACGCTCTGTTTAAAAGTTGCTGTTTGCATTGCTCATACAAGCTTACTTTCCAAAATAAGATTTGCAATTTTTCCACTATGTCAGACTCACCACCAGTAAGCGAAAATGGGGATGAGCACGTAGGACGGCCTATGTAAACATGTCATCAGAATGATTGACAATTAGGAGGACCACTTATTTTGATGATCCACCACTATACTCTTAAGGTACCCCAACCACACACAAATCACACATTGGCCAAGATATCTTCCTTTGCAACTCATCAAGTTGATGTGTAAGCTTGCTTGGCACCAGGGAACTGTTGGATAGCTTTTGTGACATACAAAGTACAATGTTGGGTGATGATGTATAGCTTTTTCTGTAATGTTGCGAGATCACTATCTTTACGTTGTTACGTTGTCCAAGACAAAATATTGTTTGTAATTTTAATCTTTAAAAGAACCCTGAAAACCCGTGAAGGTGATCCTTATTAATTTGATTGATCATTTTAAGGTTTAGGTTTTAAGGGTATTTAGGTGAATTTGGGTAATTTGCCTATAACTGACTGATACCTGACTATATGTATACACAAGTGCATCACGGTTTTGTGAAAAAAATTACAACCCAAAGGAATACTAAAATAATGTCAGTGACTATTGTAGCAACGTTTTTTTTCCTTACATAATACACAAACGACTTTAAAAAAAACTGTGGTAAAAGTAGTCAAATTTTTCTTCTTGCATGGGCTCCATATGGTGCTGATTGTTTGTTCTGATGTAATATGGCCTCAAAATGACTACTTTACCTGCTCTTCATAACAGACATGATGCATTCCCCCAGTCATCTATCCAAGGCCAACACCACCTTCGCTCTGGATCTATTCAGAAAGCTGAGTGAGGACGATAATACTTCAAATATCTTCTTCTCTCCGTTCAGCATCTCTGCAGCGCTTGCTACGGTGATGCTGGGAGCCAAAACAAATACAGCCACACAGATGTCAGAGGTAATATCTGGCTTTCTTTATTATCTGGTACATTATCTGGTTATTATATTATCTACCCAAAGCTTTTACTTAGTTATAAATTTTACCTAAATTGTCTTCATGTATCAGCCCCAATCTTTGTTGTCCACAGTGCTTGAAGACCCAGGATTGTCAGAATGATTTCCATATTCAGTTTGCCAAACTTCTGAATGAGCTCAACCGTCCAGACACTCGGTTTCTTCTCAGTGTTGCCAACAGACTGTATGGAGAGCAGTCCTACCATTTTATTCAGGTGATGGAGACAATGTCTTTTTATATAAGCAAATATACACTCATTGTCCACTATATCAGGTAAAAGTGTCCGACTGCTTGCTAAGACAAATTTCTAATCAGCCAAACACATGGCAGAAACTCAATGCAACGTACAGCCACCTTAATCAGAGCAATTATAGAACTTTTGGATGTCCCTTTGAAACGTCTCTGTATAGTTTTAATTGGAATACCATACAGCAGCCGCTTTTCATTGTACGTAATGTATTTTAGGAAGGAACAAAAATACTTTCTCTTCTGTGTTTTTTTTTTTCTTCTTCTTTCTTTTCAGATTTAGACCTTTTAAATAAAGGCGAAGGGAGTCCTTATTCTTTGGTGCCCTATGATAGGTCATAGGGCACATTGCTTCCACACCCAGTTCCTGTGCAGATTTTATCATAAAAAAACTCCCTCTCAAAGTGAGGTTATCTAAATGGACAATTCCACTCTTCCCCAAAGCCATATCAATGGATTAGTTGCTTCGAATGTATTAGTTAGCATCAGTTTCTACCAAGGACAGTTATAATAGTCTCCTTCTAGTGAAAAATGTATGTTTTAAAGTGAAAAATTTGTCAGCTAGAAAGTGACAGGAAATTTTACAGGAAAAAAACTACCAGCTAGTTGTGTCCACATTTCTGTCAACAGAAATGGAAACAGCATTGATAAGATTCCGTCTTTACATTTTCCTCAAAGGGAATTTCCAGCCTTGTTTGTATTGTATAAAAATGGAAGTATTGCACAACTTTAGGAAATAACTGAAACTGTACAAGGCGTATATCATTTTCCCATCATAGAATATCAATAGAAAAGGAATTCTGGGTGGTTGTTTTTAATGATGAAGTCAAGAAACTGTTTTTTTCTTTGTTTTCCTAGGAATTCATAACCCAAACCAAAACTCACTACCACTCAGAGCTAGAGTCTGTGGACTTCAAAACCTGCTGGGATGAGGTCAGGGTCAAGATCAACAGCTGGGTAGAGGAGCAGACACAAGGTGGATCACATGTAAACACACTGTCACTCTGTACATAACCACACAATGATTCTGAAGATGATGATCTGGTGGGGCAATGTTGCTGTGATGTTAAAAGTTACATTATCTGTGGTGTTTGGTGTCATCTGTTCCTTTTTGTTCAATACTGTTACCAGGTAAAATCAAAGATATTGTGAGTGAGGGCATGGTGAACAACAACACCAAGATGGTCTTGGTTAATGCCATCTACTTCAAAGGCAACTGGAATAAAGCTTTCCCAAAATCCAGCACCTGTAAGGCTGAGTTTAAACTCAATAAGGTCAGTCAGATGCTCTTTGACTATTAATTTACTTCAATGAAATATATCTTAATTTAATAGTAATTGGTAAAAGAATTTATTGTATAAATGTTGAGTGATTTTTCCAAAGTGTTTTCAGGCCAATATTAATCTATCCTTACAGTTGGTCTTTGACAACAAAATTACTTTTGCAATAACTCCATTTAGAAATGAACAGCCTCCTCTTCCAGGACCAAGCCTTTTGAGTCTGTTATGTGTCTGTTTTCTGACATGTTTTTTTTTTTTTTTTTTTGAGTATCCAGTTTTGCTTTTCTCCTTGTTTCCTAGTTTTTATGGTTTAATTCTTAGTTTATTATGTTCTTTGGGTTTTTTTTCAGTCACTGTCCTAGCTTTGGTTCTGTTATGTTTTCTTTTGAGTGTTTAGTTTTACTTTTCTCCATGTTTTTTAGTCCTAGTGGTTTAATTATTATTTTGTTGTGTTTTCTAGTTATTTCCAGTCTTCCAGGTTTTTCATTTGTTGTCCTCTGCTGCCCTCTTGTGTTCTCCTTTCTCCCTAGCTCCTGTTTTGTTTCTACTCTGTCCTCACCTGTTTCCAATCTTCTTTGTCTCTGTCTCCTTTAAAAGCTCTCTCTGCAGTTCCTCTTTGCTGGGTCCTCATCTAACTTCGTCTCACATTCTCCAACTTTGTCGCTCTGAGCCTTCCTGCTTGAGTTTTGATTCCCTGTTGTCTCCATGGTTTTCTGGTTTGTTTTCTTCTTATTTTTTCATGTTTTTAATTTTTGAATTTTGGACTCCTCTTTTCTTGTTTGTTTTTTGGACTTAGTTTTTATTTTGGATTCTTGGTTGCCTGTTTTTTTCAGTTACTCTTCATTAAACCAACCATAAATTCACCTCTTCCTGCCTCTGCTTTTGGGTCCTCAACCCACAAACAAATCCTGACAGAGTCATTCTAATGAATATTTTGTCTGTAAAAATAGGCAGCCCCGATTCACCTGAATATGCCTTAAATCTTACATTCAATACTTAGCAGAATCCTCCTTCAAAACGTCTCCAGCTATAGTCCAACCTCGCTTAAAGTATAAGCTAAATTCTCTCAGGAGTGTAAACTAAAGAAGCAGAATCTTCTTCTTGACATTACCAATGCATTAGGTCAGTGGTGTATGTGTTACCATATAAACACACAGAACTCCAAAGGTCTGAGGATAAGATAGCAAAATGCTGGAAAAATATAAGCTGACCCCTTACTAACTACACTTATGAACCCCCTTGGTCATTCAAGTAGATGATGACTGGGATCTGATCCTAAATCCATAGCACCCAACCACTGAGGATCTCAATGCCTTTCTTACTTGGAAACTTTATCATTTGGCCTTCAAAACCCAATGTGCTTGTGGAGTTAAAGGTAAAGAGGATGATCTTTTATTTGAAGGTGTATCATCTAAATAAGTGTTCCTCCTAATTGTCAATCATTGTGGTGATACGTTTACGTAATGCCGTCCTACGTGCTCGTCCCCTTAGCTATCTTTTCAAGTATATATCTGTGGTGAGCTGCGGTTTCAGACAGTCATGGAAGCTCACCTTTCTTAGCGCTGTTCTTTGAAAATGGCCGAGGGTCATTAGAGAAAAATTGTCTACAAAGTGTATGACAAGAAATGAAAGGCCTCAGAAGAGGCAGATGTACCCCGGTGTGCTTTGTGCATAGCTTTCCTCACAAAGCATTATGGGATTTGCTGTCACAGCGGCAAGTCAAAGAGGAGTTATGTGACCAACGGGGAGCAAAAAGCTGTGATCATCTATCCGAACGGTAAGTTAACTGAGTTTGCTTTGTAGTTCAGCATATCGTCCCCGCTCTTTTTGGTGATTGAGGGATTTAGGGTTTAGGTTGGACGTTTGGGCACAGTAAGCTTGTATTAGCTATGAGAACAGCAACTTTTAAACTGAGCGTGCACGAGGAGAAATGGGGTTGTGCACGCTCTGGCACCCGTTTAATAGGGTTTCGCTCTCGGGAGCGGGTACAGGGTTGTGCATGTGCATTTTTTTTTCAGTTGGGGGGGGGGGTTTTTTTGAAAAACTTGTGAAAATTCTCCACAATACCTTTAATTATACCACGCTGTAAATAGTTCAGTCTGTTCAACTTGATAACTTTTTCTTCTACTGAGGGGATGTTTCATTTCCCAAAAAGAAAATGTAGTAGTTACCATGACTTACTATTATTTCCCCTAAAGCCAATAAAACCAGTTTGCAATGGAGACCCTACCATAAGAAGGTATCTTACATTTATGATATTTAAAAGGCTGAGCCAGTTAGCCCACAGGACCAAAAGCTAGACCATTAGGCATTCATCAAGGAGTTTACCTCCAAGGCCTGGCTTTAGGGAATTGACGCGTGTCTCTTGTCCAAATGGGGCTCACTGGCAGTTGTGGTCTGCATATTTTTCACTTACCATTGTGACCCATCACCTTAGTTTTCCATGTGGTATGGCATATGGTAAAGTGTCCCATTTTAGCCGCATTCGGCTGTTTAATGCCTCCACTTGAGCCTCCCCTGTGCTTTTTAAAAAAAAATTTTGTGAAAATGGAAAAAGACGTTTTTTTGTTTATTTTTGTATTTCTTTTCAAACGATGTGCAAGACATTAAACAAACATTCATTATCTTTCCAGTGCTGTAAACATTTATATAATAAATACATTTAAATAATAAATTATAATATTTCTGTCAACAAAGATTTGCATCATAGCCTGCAACACACGTTTCAGCGCGGCGCAGTGTCAGGCAGGTGACTGTTATAAACAAACCGGCGGGTGTGTCTTGGGGCAAGGATCCCAAAGGGATAAAAGAAGATAGCTGATGAGAACAGATGATTCAAAGAAGAATGGACCGAATCATTTGCTTTCATTACCAATAAGGAAGGATTGCTTGCATGTTTGCTTTGTAACGAGAAGTTGTCAAGCAATAAATAGAGTAATTTGGACGTGCATTTCCAACCACCAAGTTGTTAGTGAGAGAAAAAGTGCGACTGGAGTGCTTCTGTATAAATCACAGCAGAGCAAATATAGATTCAAGAAGTAGATTTCATCACCAAACTCCACTACTGCTGCTAGTTTTGTTGCAAGCATGGAAAATATCAAACAGGTAGTGCTCTTATCCAGGTGTGTAGATTTTCTTCCATTTTTCCCCCAAATCCTTAAAATAAAAATAACACAGAAAATCTTTATTTATTTTGTTTCTATAATTTCATCAATGCAATAAAACCTAATACATTAATATTGTAATGGAATTTAAACTTAAAGCACTGAATATCTTACAGCAGAGTGGTAACATGATGAGACATTTGCTTCAGGATTTAATCATGAATGCTTATTATATATTTAAGCCCATGTAGTCCTTTTTTAAAAGTGGGCTAATACTCTTAGAGCTTGTGTTGCCATACATGGCTTATATAAAACTTTTAAATTTTTGCAGTTCCAGACAGATTTGTTTTGGTTTTGTTCGTCCAATATGGCTCTTTAAACAGTTTGGGTTGCCGACCCCTGAACTATATGCACAAAGTGCTCAAACTCCTCAATCTTGTTTTAAAAAAAACTCTGTTTTTTACTTACTTGTTAAAACTTTAGATATCCTGAAGGGGGTGGTACTTTGTTAGGAAACTGGGTCATTATTTTGTTTCTTCACAGAATGAGACAAGATCTGTGCAGATGATGGAACAGAGCAGTAACTTCAACCTTGCCTTCATTCCTGAAGTCAAGTGTCAGGTAATCAAACAAAACATTTCTCAGTCCAACTAAATTAGTGGATCATGTGAAAATGTTTATATTTTAATCTTTGGTAAATAATGTTTTAGAGTTTGATGCATTGGATCTGATCCCTTTACTCCTTGAATTAGTTTCCCAATATGGAGTATTTTCCTCAGGAGAGCTCAGAGCATTTCTCTGTCCTCTGAACTAACAAATTAATTCTGCTGTGATGTGGAAGTTGAAAAGATGTAAGCAGAAACATGTGGTGTGATTAACATATTTGGCCTGTGCAATTGGAAAGTGGGCTTTTGAGAGACGTCACATGTAAAGCAACGCTACAACTGAAGTTGACTGCATGATTTAGCTTGATGTCCCTTCATTAACGATATAGACTTTATTTGGTGACTTACTATGAATCCGGCATATTTAAGAGCTAATATGTTGCACTAATTACCCTTTTATTGGACAGGTGTTGGAGATGCCTTACAAAGGGATGGAAATGAGCATGCTAATCTTTTTACCTGAAGAAATAGAAGATGATACAACAGGTCTAGAAAAGGTAGGACTTCCTCCAGATTTATATTATACAACCCAGGCACTTAAAATTCAATAATTAATATGCAATTTATTCAGCTGGAGAGCCTCCTAACTTATGAGAAATTCCTGGAGTGGACTCAACCAGACGATATGGAAAGCTGTGAGATTGATGTAAGGCTGCCTCAATTCAAGATGGAGGAAACGTATAACCTGAATGAGGTCCTGCGCAGCTTGGGCATGGTTGACGCTTTTGAAGAATCAACGTGTGACTTCTCTGGTGAGATAGAGGAGACTGAGCTATGTTTTTAAGTGGACTATGAGTTTATGAGCAGCTCTGCACTGGAGCTGCAGTTAGCTCTGCATTCCTTTTAACATTTTTAGACAATAAAAGTGCTTTAATGATTAGTGCTCTATATGGGGAAAGTAAGTCTACATGAAAATATTTGATATTTCCTACATAGAAAAAACTGTAGAGCTATGGATTATAATCCTGTAATTTAACTTTTTTTTTTTTAATCTATGACAGGAATGTCAAGTAACAAGGGGCTCTTTTTGTCCAAAGTCTGCCACAAGGCTTTTGTAGAGGTGAATGAGGAGGGTACAGAAGCTGCTGCTGCTACTGCTGGCATTATGGCAGATTGTGCTTCCTTCTTCAACGCAGACCACCCCTTCCTCTTCTTCATCCGCCATAACCCCACCATGTGCATTCTCTTCGCTGGACGCTTCTGCTCCCCCTGAGTGAGAACTGTGTCCTTTGAAACTGTGACTCTTAACTGGATGGATGGATGGATGGATGGATGGATGGATGGATGGATGGATGGATGGATGGATGGATGGATGGATGGATGGATGGATGGATGGAT